TCGGCCACGACCTACCTAATCACCTAAGTCTCTAGTCCAGGTTTATCGCCTATTCGGGTTCCATCCATGAGGAGATCCGGCCGAGGTTTCGCTCACAGCCCCAAACGATGTGAACAGGGTTCCCGAGATACCTAACAGGTATTCGGTACACCGTGCCACGTACCTACCGCATCACAGCCCACCCCTACGGTCAGCGCTGTCCACGGCCTCCAGTAGGCTACAAACACCAGAAACTACTTGCAACTCCTGGACAGAGAACTAGGGTGAATAAGAAGTCGAGAGGGTCCATTGGTTTCGGGCCCAATGCATGGTAGTAGCTGAATCTTAAATCACACATACAGATCTCAGTGCTTAAGGTCGGCTTCAATGAAACAACCCACCATGTACTCCTACATGGCCTCTCATCGATACCTTTACCAAATCGTGTTCACCACACCACTCTCATTACCGACATAATCATTTCACTCTAGTCCATCACCCAGATGAACCAGACCTGACTCGACTCTAAGCATAGCAGGCATAGCAAGGTAGGAACAACACATACATATGGCTCAAACAACTCCTACACATGCTAGTGGGTTTCATCTAGTTACTGTGGCAATGACAGGTCATGCAGAGGAAATGGGTTCAACTACCGTAACACACAGCAGTTTGAAACGCGTTGTCTTAATGCAGTAAAAGAGAGCAGGAGCGAGAACATGGGATTGTATCGATATGATCAAATGGTTGGTTGCTTGCCTGATGGTTCGATGCACTGATACGGTTCTTCGTTAGGGTAATCACGGTACTCCTCGGAGGCAGATCCTGCCGCAAAGAACACCGATACACAACCATCACCAAACAATGTGCAACAATATGATGCATGCATGAAACATAGCAATATGAGTGTGTTGGGCTAATGCAACTAAGACCAGAAAGGTTTGAACCAATTTGAATCAAAGATTCAAATTTCAAACTCAAACATGGCCCTTTAAAGTGTTTTTCCTTGTTCTGCATTAAACATCAAGTTAACTTGTTTAATCATGCATGAAAATAGTACAGATGGATAGATTGAATTTTTTTGATCATTTTTCATATATAACTTGTCTGATTTGGAGTTACAGATTAAAAGTTATGAATTTTTGAAGTTTAAACTATATTCTGGAATTTCCTATATTAGAATAAATCCAGAAAATCAATTTCCGCGTCAGCCTGACGTTAGTGTGACGTCAGCAGGTCAACGGGACACGTCCGGGTCAAACCTGACAGTGGGTCCCGCGTGTCAGTGTGATTAATTAAACTAAAATTAATTTAAACTAATCCTAATTAGTTAACAGGGCTGGGCCCCACCTGTCATTGACTCAGGAGAGTCAACCAGGGCCCACCCGTGGTCAAACCTGGGTCGGCTGCACCGGCGTTTAGCCGCCGGCGAGCCCGACACGGCGGCGGAAGTGGTTTTTGCCGTTCCGGCAACCAAACGAGCCGCGGAGGCCACCGGAGAGGAGCTGAGGACGAACCGCAGCTCTTGGTGGAGTCCGTTGGGGTCGGGGTGGCCGGAGTTGGCGCCGGCGACGACTTTGGCGGCCACCGGGGTTCGGCCGAAGTCGAACTTGACGCAAGAGGGGTCGGTGAGGTGCGGGGAGTAGCTAGTTAGGTGCTACGTGACGCGGTGAGCATGATGGACACCGTGGAGTGGCCGGAAGATGACCGGGAGCACGTGGGCGACGAGCTCCGCGGCGGTGGGTGCGGTTGAGCTCCGGGAGGTCGCTACATGGCTCGGGAGCAGGAAAAGAAGGGAGGGGAGGATGGCTAAGCTCACGGGGAGTTGGACGAAGCCCTTGGTGCGGCCGGGGACGGACCGGAGCGACGACGACGTTGAAGGGGATCTCCGGCGACGGCGGTTCGGTCGAGGTCGATGCGGTGGGCTCGGGCCTTGCGAGCGCTCGGGGCTCGGCTTGCTCGAAGGAGAGGAGGGTGGCGGAGCTCCTGGACACGGCGGCACGGCGTGGGGTTGACGGAGGGCGTGGCTACAGCGAGGGGGTGGCGGCGATGGCGTCGGCCATGGCGGGGGAGCGCGAGAGAGAGGGGTTGGGGGAGAATGGAGATGTCCTGCGGGTTCACGGCGCTGCGTGGAGCTCATCCATCCAGCCCCAAGGCGAGGAGGTGGAGCAGGGCGGCAGCCAGCTGCGTGGCGCGCGCTGCGGTCGCCGTCGGGCACCTGCCTGCCTGCCTGGCCGGCAAGCAGCTCGCTGGAGCGGCGCTGGGCTGGGCCGGCAGGTGGGCCGGGTGCTGGCGCCAGGTAAGTTTTCTATTTTTTCTGTTTTCTATTTTTTTAATACTTCTGCAACTTTGTTGAATTATTAAAAATACCTAGGCAACTCCTAAAATCACCAAACTACTCCTGGTCCATAGTTGGATTATTTCCAACATGAAACATTTTAGTTTGGAGATATTTGAGCATTTAAATATTTTATATAATTTTAAATGCCCAAATTCAAATATTTATGATTTAATTCAAAGACCCTAAGATGACCTAGGAAAATGTGCATCACTTTTGGCAGAGGTTCTGAACCAAGACAAAAATGATGGGCATTTTAGAAGGGCATTTCAGGTTCATTGAAAAAGTTTTTGGTAAACCCTAGTTGGTTTTAGAGGGGGCTGGGGGTTCTGTCATCCCCATTTCAGGTTTCTGATGAAAGAATAAACATGATGCAACACTCTAATGCATGAACTAGCTAGGGTGTGACAGCAACCTCGTACATTTGGCAGACACCTTTGGTCGTACCAGAATTTGGTTGAACTATCCTTCTGCATACACGCACTTGCGTTTGTTGAACTGATGTAGTATGAATTTCGTCTCAGTTCTATAAATTTTCCAATGTCTGTTAATATCATATTTGCCTGACAAATCTTTGTGATCCAGTTTCCCAAGTTCGATTATATTTACATTGGCCATCTTTATTTGGGGGAGTGTGTTAGTCGATTGGCACATCATTTAGAGAAGAGAAACGATTTGACAATCCCATGTAAGGGCCTGTTTGGGACTACTTCGCTTCACCAAAATCAGTTTCACTCAACCAAATCCTCTTTGAAGCAGTTTCATACAAAAGTTGTAGCACTACCTTTAAGAATGTTTGGCTTCTATGTAGTTCTAGCTTCAAGAATGGGAAATTTGGTGGAAAAAGTCTATTTGATTGAATGAGGGGAGAGAAACGAAGGGGTATGCACTTACCGGTGCCAGTGGTGGGTAATTTTTCCCCAACTCCAGCTTTTAGAGTTTTTTGAAGCACTCCCTCAAGAGCTTCATTAAAAACTGGGAGTTGTATCCTAAATTTTAGTTTTTTGCGGAGCGGCATACCGTGGAGTTATCTTGTTTGGCTTGTGTTTTTTGGAGCAGAGTTGAATTTAAGGAGCCTTGGCGCAGTGGTAAAGCTCTGCCTTGTGACCATGAGGTCATGGGTTCAAGTCCTGGAAACAGCCTCTTACAGAAATGTAGGGAAAGGCTGCGTACTATAGACCCAAAGTGGTCGGACCCTTCCCTGGACCCTGCGCAAGCGGGAGCTACATGCACCAGGTTGCCCTTTTTTTTGAATTTAAGGAGCAGAGCAGTCCCAAACAGGCTCTAAGTTTAGCTTCAATATTGCATTGAAATGTGAAGTCATGCCACCCGTACTGAGTTTGAATTACCAGTAACCTTGTGATTGTGGCGGACACCTAATTGCGATTATTTTTTCGAGATGAGCAGCAACTTGTAGATTAACTAAAAAATAGTGTGCATCTTTAGTAAAGCTTTTAGTTCAATAGCATGTTGTATTTTGACAAAAAATCTCAAATCTTGGGTCATCTCTCCTGCCTTGGTTCCTGAATAAAAGTACACCTCTTGATGGAAATCTGAATAACTAAAAAATAGTGTGCATCTTTGGTAAAGCTTTTAGTTCAATAGCATGTTGTATTTCGACAAAAAATCTCAAATCTTGGGTCATCTCTTCTGGCTTGGGGCTTGGGTCCTGTACACCTCTTGATGGAAATCTGACTAACTGAGCACATCACAAGACCCGATAGAAACACGCCGCACTGATGATTTTTTCAAATTCATGAGCTTTTTTCTGAGACTGATGATTTTTTCTTCAAAAACTGTGATTATTTTCTAAAAATCAATGATTCTTTTCAAAAACTGTATAAGCTTTTTGAAAAACTGATGAACTTTTTCCAAAAGTGATGGTTTTTTCAAAATCAATGAACTTTTTTTTTTAAATTTGATGAACTTTTTTCGAAATCAATGAACCTTTTTTTTCCAAAATCGATGAACTTATTTTCAAATTTGTGAACTTCTTCCAATTCGATGTTTTTTTCAGAACCCATGAATTTTTCTCAATTCACATTTTTTTTTGAATTTTAGAGTTTTTTTTCAGATTCATTTTTTTTTTGCAAAAGCCAATGGTTGACTGGTCAACTGTTGACCGATGAATCGAACGCGCCAAGGCGAGGTACTGCATGCGACGGTGGAGTGGGCCGACCCATTTTCTGTAGCTAGTGGGCGCCAGGACTTCTAGCCGGCGCATAAGGCGCCGTCTAGGAGCTTCCGGTGGGCTCTTTTGTCTTGGCCTGACTGCCATGCTTGGTAGATCAACACGGCAATTTTTTTCGTCTCTGTAAACATTTGAATGACTTAATAAAGTTTTACGAGATTGCCTAAAAAAGGTAATCAAACTTTTTTGCCTCAACGGAAAAAAGCTAATTAGACTCTTGCTTACACACAATCAAAAGGCAAACCTCCACGAGAGGGTCGCTACTGATATTCAGTAGTAGTAACGGACTCGCAACCACATGGCGTATGTGGCGAGTAATCTAAAAATAAACAATGTCTAGAAAACATAAATGCAAAGGACCACCTAAAAAAAGTAGTAACGGACATCACACATTTACACGGCAAGACACCACCTCCTCGTTATAAGGGCACAATTTCTAGCTCATCTTCAATCCCCTAGTTAAGAGTACTGTACACAGGAGGGAGAGTGAAGATGGATGGCGGAAGCAGCGGTGTGGGCGCAGATGGGATCTGGAGGCCATGGGACGAGCACACCGTGCTCCGCCCGGAGGAGATGGAGTACGTGCGGCGGTTCCACCAACACGTGCCAGGCGCCAACCAATGCACCTCCTTCATCGCCAAGCACATCAAGGCACCCCTCCAAACCGTAAGAAACACATGCCTACCTCTCAAGTTATACATCGTTCTTGCATGCGTCGTATGCCATCTAAAACCAAATTTGTCATAAAAAAGGTTCTTGGTAGTTGCCGGTTTCTGATTTTGATTGGCACCGAAGTCTAAGAAATATATTAATCAACACGCGGATGCACTTTGAGTCTAATCGCGTGACCTATATGGGGTGAGCGTAGGAGTTTGTGGTCGTTTTTGTTTTGCTTTCTCCATTCAAAATTTCTGTTTCTACATATTTTTTGTTTTCTAAGAGTGTTGACCGAATTAACTCAGAAATTATAGGAACCGATGATTCTGTTCAATCCCTAAGTTAGACAAAAGTGACTGATTAGTTTTTTTAGTTGGAGTGAACCATTAGATTTAAGAAAGAAGAAAACAAAGGTCGCAGGGGGATTCACGTGGGGATGAAGATGCATATGGCTCGCATATGCAATGGGAAGGTCGACTACCATGCTTGATGGGAAGGGAGATGAGGTCAGGAAATTAGGTCGAGAGTGCCATGGTGTTGGACAAATCACGGGCGATGGGGTGTGGTAGAGGCGGGGGGAGGAGTTAGCAAAGATGATGAACTTGTGCACGGTAGGACTTTAGGAGTAGCCAAAGTGAAACACGTCTGACGAGTTTGCCAGCAAGCAACACACTGTCTACCGCTTCCTGCCAGATAAGGATGTTGTGGGGGCTCAGGCGACAGATGTGACCAATTAGGCACGTTTTATTTCTTGCCTAGTTATAGGGTATATGCAAGGGTTGGGAAGTTGGATGTATTTGGTCCATTTCGTTAACCTGGATCATTTTCATTGTTCAGACGCGTTTTAGGCACCAAAATAAAAATGAATTAACTTTACCATTTATTTTTTTGGTTTGATTTACGGTTTTATGCTTATCCATTGTTAAGAGGGCCGAAATCATGCATGATCGGGGTGTTGAGTTAGAGAGCAGTGTTGTGGTATACACACCATAATTAGGAACGTTACACGCAACACAATAAAAAAACACCACCAAGATAAATAGATGCACACAAAAAATAACCTTGCGACAAATTGACGATGGCTTGCCAATTAGCACGTGCCAAGATAAGATTTTTTTAGCCACCCATGTACTAAGGAAATGATCTATGTCAAACCAATGCAAGCACATCATACACCACTAAATAAGGAAACACTATGGCAAGAAGACAATATTAGTAGAAAATGGTTATTGCCAGAAAAGAGTAGCGACAAACTGATGGTGGTGTGGCACATACTGTGAGATTAAAAAATCTGGACCATGGACTGAAATAACTTCGATTATTTTTCACATGTGATTTACACACCAAAAAGGAGAATGAATTAACCCTATATTTTGGGTTTCTGTTTTGGTTTACAATTTCGATGTCCCATCCGTAGCTAAGAGGGTTGATATCTTGCACAACTAGAGTGAGTAGTAGCACATGTGGAAAATTGATAGTGCTATGGTATATGACAGATAATAAAGAACGTTACACATCATAAAATAAGGAAGGGACAATTACATTTCTGCCCCTAACTGGAACCCACTACTCAAATTTACCCCTAATTTCAATGTGTGCTCAAATTTGCCCCTCTGCCGTTAGTTTCCCTTATAGAAATGCCCTTCTGCGCCGTTACCGTCCGGTCAAATAACTTTGACCATCTCGAAAAAATAGTAAAAAAAATCAAAAAAATCTGAAATTTTGTGGGATTGAAGCTACTCATGTGCGCAAGGTGCGTGCAAATTTCCGTGCTATTTAGACATACCAGGAGCTCGTGGCAAAGGAAAACAATAAATTTGTACATCTTTGAATAGTAAATTCAAAAAAATAGCAATAAAATTCAAAATCATATGAAATTTTTTGGCATCCAAGATGCTCGGGGGCACAAGGCGTGTGCAAAATTTTGTTATCAAATGACAAGCGAGGAGCTCTCGCAAAAAAAAACCAAAATAGTGTATTTTTTACAAGTTTTTTCTGACACAAATTTTGTTTTTTCTCCACGAGCTCCTACAATGTCCAAACACAAAAATTTTTTGCACACACCTTCCACACCTAAGCATCTTGGATTCCAAAAGAATTCATATTTTTTTGAATTTTTTTGCTATTTTTTTGAATTTACGGTTCACACGCGTACATATTTACTGTTTTTTCTTCGCCACGAGCTCCTAGAATGTCCAAACAACATGAAAATTTGCACGCACCTTGCGAACCTGAGTACCTTCGATCCCACAAAATTTCAGATTTTTTTGACTTTTTTTGCTATTTTTTCGAGATGGTCAAAGCTGTTTGACCAGACGGTAATGGCGCAGAAGGGCATTTCTATAAGGGCAACTAACGGCAGAGGGGCAAATTTGAGCACACATTAAAATTAGGGGCAAATTTGAGTAGTGGGTTCCAGTTAGGGGCAGAAATGAAATTGTCCCAATAAGGAAATACCCTAGCCATCGAGATAATAGGTGCATGCAAAAAACAACATCAGAACAAATTGGCAAAGGCTTACCGACGGGCACACACCACAATATAAGAACTTTAGCCACCAATGAACTAAGGAAACACTCTAGCTATACAGAAAAACTATATTGGTAGAGAAAAGATGTGACAAACTAATGTAGACATCGCACACTTAACTTAAGAAGGAAACACCCTATCAACAAGACAACAATGATAACAAGTAATTATTGCTAGAAAGGAGTCGGAGTGAACTAGTGGTGGCATGAAACATGTCATGAAAGAAGGAAACTCTCTAGCCACCCATGGAGTAAGGGCATGTACAATTGTACTATCTTAGCGATGCCTCATATGATAACTGGTGAGAGAGAGAGAGAGAGAGAGAGAGAGAGAGAGGTGTTTCTCTTAGCTCAGAAATCATCTCTTAATAAGAAAGGTAAGATATTTGCCTACAATCTACGAGATGTATTCTCCTATTCATATGTTTTCTAGTTAACTTTTAATCACATCATAATATTTAGGATCTTTAAAAATTAATAGCACCATAGCACTAAGACATAATCTATCTTATACTATGCTTTTTTGGCTTCTCTAATTCATGTGTACTATATAAAAAAAGAACACGTTATCAACCATTGTACATGCCTCTAAGGGAACATTTAAGTCACCATGATAATGCCTCTATAGGACACTGCAAAAAAAAGAAGATAATGGCTCTATAGGAAAAATATACCAATTTTTTATGGTAAAGTGACAGTCCCTCCCATACATGATGGAGTAAGGAAACACCAATAGCCACCTACATAACTGGTAATGCTCTTGCTGCCAAGCAAATAGTTGTACAAAGCTAGTTACTGTTGTTCGTAAAAAAGCTAGTTACGGTTAGAACAATATGGTGTCGAACTAATGATGAGGCACACCATGGAATAAGGGAACTTTTGTGCCACCCACATAACAAGGAAACACTCTAGCTCCATCCGAGTTCTCAAGCACCCATTGAGCTCCTGAGCTACTGAGTTTTATTTCCACCACTGTCATGGTGTACGGTTTCTCTCCTAGTCACAAGTGCCCCTTCCTGTTTTTAGGCGTTCTTTGTTTTGATTGCGGAGTGGGGTTTCAATTTTTTGGTGTGGGTTTGAAAATACCTTCTGTGTAGTTTGATTGTTAGTTGGGTGAATCTGGACAGTTTGAGAATATACCTCGTGGTGATTGGAACACATTTAAAATTTTATTTTGTATAATTTTGAGCTCATCGATAGCTTGGGAAAATAGGGAACATAAATCTTCAAATGGCAATAAACTTTTCTATACCAGCATCTAAATTGCATTAACATTTTACATATTTAGAGTATGAGTGTAGCGTTTCTGCTCCCGGGCTCAGCTGCACCCGCGCTGACGAAAAAAATCAAAACAAATACTAGAAAAATTCAAAAAATTCCATTTTTTTGGGTGGTAGATAATTTGATGCGTGAGGTTCTCTGCAAATTACAACACATTTGGACATTTGAGTAGCTCTCCGCAAAAAAGACAAAATCGGAGTCTGTAAAAAAGTTAACTGTTCACGCACTGTTTTGACCCGATTTGTCTTTTTTTTTTTGATAGTTTCTCTGATATCCAAATGATTTGAAATTTGGAGCGGACCTCACGCATCAAATTATCTACCACACAATTTTTTTTGGATTTTTTTTGAATTTTTCTAGTATTTGTTTTGAATTTTTTTCTGACCCGGAGCAGATGAGTCCGGGCACCGATTTGGATTTTCGCATACTAGAGTGCAGCGTTTCTGCTCCCGGGCTCAGCTGCACCCGCGCCGACGAAAAAAATCAAAACAAATACTAGAAAAATTCAAAAAATTCCAAAATTTTACCATGATGACACGAACCCATGGCTCATTTAACAAATAAATTGATAATAATCTCTACTACTATGGTTGCATAAACTAAAATCTTAAGAAGCTTTTAAGAAAAAAAATCCACATTTGTTTTGATTAGTACACAGTTGCGACACCCGTTCACAATACTTGTAATTTAATAAAGTATTATTTATAGCATAATACATATTATTTATAATTAGTATGGCGTAACAATAAACTAGTGTGACCATAATTATTTTCCCAGCAAAATGAAATTGCACTCTCGTTTGGATTGGCAACTTCTCATATGATTTTTTTACCATATCATTGTCTTGACTTGATAAAATATTAGCAATAGAGCCATTCTTTAGTATATCACATCCACTCTTATTAACATAGTTCTCTCATGTAACAATAGATACCTTTTAGTCTACCAAAACAATCTAAAGGACATAGGAGTTTAGCAAAAGAAATGTTTTAACCTGTTAGCAATATTCAAATAAAATGATTATATTTTAGTTTCACCTTTATCACACTAAAGTGCTTGAGAACGTGAAGCATTTTATGTGGATGATATGTTGCTAATGCATATGAAATAACATTTAACTTAATGCCTTAATTGTACACATTATGTCAAATCTACATACCGTGGAGCTTACTAATATCGATTCAATTAATGTCCTTTTGCGTGTTCATTACATGTTAGGTTTGGTCTGTTGTGAGGAGGTTTGACAAGCCACAAGTTTACAAGCGTTTTGTGGAAAACTGTGTGATGCAAGGGAACATTGAGCCAGGATGTGTTAGAGAGGTCACTCTCAAAAGTGGGTTGCCTGGTAAATGGAGCATCGAGAGATTGGAGCTACTCGATGACAATGAGCACATCCTTAGTGTCATGTTTATTGATGGTGATCATCCGCTGAAGGTATGTAATTAAATTTTGAGCCTCCAATGTATGTCTAATTTTTATATTCTATTATACAGTGGCCGATCTACCAACAAATATGTATCGTCACCTGTCAACTTTTTTTTAACATCTTGGGCCTTATAAACATACTAATATTCAGATGCTAAGATGCGGTACGACGAGACTGCAAACCAAGAGATATTTAGCAATACCCATTGTTATTGTAGTTTTTAATCACATGTTATAGTAGAATGAAAGATATTTAAACCTAAGAGTTGGCATTGTTTTGACAAAAATGTCTTGGATATAATTAGTTAATCTTGACATAATAAATGCCTAACACAAGTAAGCAGAAACCCATAGAATAATTAAAATTAAACCAATCCCTTGACTTCCAACTCATGCATGCCCATATATCTAGAAAGTTCTTTGCACAATATACCAAATTATATTACTGAAAGTTACAAATGAGAGACTAGCTAGCTCCACTCCATGTGATGAGAAATGTATAACTAATATACTTAGTATGAAATATTCCATATAGCAGTAAAAATGATACCAAATGCACAACTATATTTAAATAAATATTCACAATTCTTTTTAAATTAGCATCCAAGACATCTCTATCAAGGAAATAATATCATTTCTCATTGGAAGTCAATGGCATACAATTCGATTAGTTTATTTTACTAGTGTATGTTTACAATAAAATTCCAAAAACATTATTACATAGATAATTTTCATTAGTTGTCTTCACATTTTATATCTAGACACTTTAGAAAAATGCTGGTTCACAATATTCAAATTAATGGTTAGAAACAAAACATAGCTAAGAAAGTAGATCACATAACACTTCCACACGTGAACCCACTCAGACCACATATATAACAATTTTAATGCACTTTAATATACATATCTGACACACACACACACACACACACACATGTGTGTGTGTGTGTGTGTGAGTGAGTGAGTGAGTGAAGTATTATTTTATCAAGTACCCACATATTGGTAGTTGGAGCACGCTTGAGGTTAATTATTATGAGATTATTTTTCTAGGATACTAAAATCATGTCTTATTTTTATTTATCTAGAACTATTCATCTATTTTGACGGTCCACCATGAGGTCACTGATGGTCATCCGGGAGCACTGGTGATTGAGTCATTTGTGGTCGACATCCCAAAGGAGAACACCGAAAATGAGATCTTTTACCTTGTTGGGAACTTTCTCAAGTTTAACCACAAGTTGCTTGCTGATGTGTCAGAGGGACAAATCGATCGCCGTGCACTAAACTAATGGTCCCTTATTGGTCGGCTAATGACCAATCAATTAGCTTGCTCCACCCATGAAACTTCTCTATCAAATTGACCGAGTGCCCTACCTTTCGTCGTTGGATATTTTTAGAAATTAATTCGTACAATGTATGTGGAATATTGTCTGTTGAGTTTGGTCTCTTCATGTGCATGTTTATCAGGATTTTAAATTGAAGAATATGAATAAAGTACCTCTTCCATCATTCCGGGAGAAAATAAAGTTAATCAGAGACAATTGCTCGCTTCTTCTATTTTGCTTGTTGAATTCAAAAAATATTCATTTGTTGTGCAATATGAACGGAAATGTCATGGCTAATGGGCGTGGGTCTATAAATTTTCCCTTTTATCATTTGTAGATATTTTCGGAATCAAAAATAATTTTATGTAAGAAACTAAAGGGCGCGTGCACACACACAAATCAATGGGATTAATATGCTACAATACTTATGGGACACTCGGTATCATAGATTACTAATGTTTTTAAATTCTTCCGTTTGATTAGTATTTTCATATTCATTTGAGTTGATACTTCTTTTGTCACGACTCGATCCCTCAATGGGGCCCAAATCTCTGTGCTTACTGTGTCAGTCTCTGGATCAATAGCTGACATGCACAATGGACGATGAAATACCGAGAATACATCATGTGTCAAGTATTACATTGTAGATCAAGTGCTTTACAATACACACCTACTTAGCTCGTGGGCTAGCTTACAATATAATCATGCAGCAGAGATATCATTCTAGTCTTGTGGTGTCCATGCACTCACAGGTAGAAGTTGAGTATAACATTGTAACCCTACGTCCTGCAACATGATACGTTGCAGCCACAAGGGTCAATACAAAATGTATTGGCAAGCTTCACCAGGTTTGGCTTGTTGGAAAAGGTAAACATGCAAGTGGTGCGGCTCGTTTTGCTTTGCGCGAAACAATTTCCCTACCTTTTTAGTAGTGGTCTATATACTATATATATAGGGCTGGACTATTCTGTTACTAGTGACAGAATAATATTCTGTTACCCCTCGGCCCTATAAGGGCGCGGCGCGCCTACAGCCTGCACCGCAGGAACTCCCCGACCCAGCCCCAACCTAACCCGCCTCCTACCATCGGAGGCAGCCGTCGTGGGCGAGCGAGCGACGGCGGTAGCCAGAGCGAGGGAGCCCGCGGCGCCGTGACAGGTTGCTCCTCCACCGCCGGATCCGTGACCTACTTCACCGCCTCCTCTCCTCTTCCGTGAATCTCGCCGTGAACAAGCGAGCGATAGCAGTAGCCTGAGCAAAGGAGGCCTCGACGGCGTGGAGGGTCGCCGCCGGATCTGGCGACGCCGTGAAGGTGGTTACGCCTCCTCCCCACCAACGAAGCTCCATCCCTCGGGATCAATGGCGCCGCCTGTAAAACTCATCCCAAAACGCTGTCCCCACCAGCAAGAAGACCACGCCACCGTCAGTGAGCAGGACGACAGGTTTGTCGGCGTCCGTTTTTAGGTGATTCCTTCTTTCCCCTGCAAATCTTCCGATTTGAGAAACTGTTGCTGTTGAATCTGATTAAGAAACAAATGCTCAGTCCAATGCTCATGCGCGTGATTGTGTGAGAAAAAAACATGCTAGATTGCTCAGTTCAAACAGTAGATGCATGTGATGTCGCACTATAAGTTCATCTGTCCTACTTTAAAAAATCATATACCCCCGTGTTGTTCTGCAAGTTCTATGATGTAAAAGCAGATAGTACATCGCATATTCTTACATCAGTTCGTTGGGTCCTTGCCACTTGATACACAATTTTGATGTCGCAGTTACTATCAGTACCTCTATTGTGCTTGCATCAGTTTGAGTAAAAAAGACTTAAAGTTATGCATCAGTTCAGGTAGCTTAATAAGTTCATATAAAAGGTTAAACTACCACTGCAAGTTATATGTTAAGATTACTAATAATACATGCCATGTAGATGCATCAGCTCGAACGATGAAAAGACTGTTGTTGAAAAGATTAAATACACCTATTACACAGTAAGTTCAGTTATACATAAACTGGGGGTACTTCTAATGTAGATGCATCAATTCCAGTGCAAAACAAAAGACATGCACCAGCTTCATAGCTGCCAACTACTCCCAAGTTCAATGTTCAGGTTGCCAGTAGTGCCCCAAATGTGCATGCATCGGTTTTAGGGAAAAACATAAAAAACATGCATAAGTTCATTAACCCACAGCGATGCATCACTGCTAAAAGTACATCAGTACATCAGTGCTCAACATGTCCATCCATTAGTTTGACTGAGAGTACATCAAGGAGAATAGACAATAAAGTTTAATAACGCCCAACGTTGCAAGTTCAACTTATACATTACCTTTAGTACATGACATGTTACCCATCAGTTGTAGGAAAAAAGGCAGAAAGATTAATCCCAAAACTATTGAATGTCATTGCAGAAACATGCAAGGCGGCACATGCAGGGAGGGTTTGATGATGAGCCAAGCAGATATGAGGCACCGCCTGGTTGGGTAACACCAGAAATAGCCCCTAGATACTCCAACAATTCAGGCAGATTTCAAGCTACACCAGAATCATCAGAAGCACGGTATGGTTCTTCTCTGCAGCAAACGCCGCTTACCGGGAATACAATCTTTGCCACTGGCGGGGTGCAACAAGGTCCACAATGTCCCCAACAACAAATATTTTCCTTCCCTGGCGCATGCAGAAAGGCAAGGACACCCAGGCTTCCACCAATCGCTTCATCAACATCAATCATACGTGTTGCAAAAGCGGTTGTGACGGGAATACTAGGGCAAAGAGATAGGAATGTTCACCACTCTAGCAGGGTGCAAAGTAGTAGATATGAGCCATATAGATAGGAGCAACCTCACAACAAATCTGACCAAAGACGGCCGTACAATGAAAGACGGGGAGCTTCATCAACATTGCTCCCTCCAAGAGGTGCATTGCAGACTAATGCATAGCCTAGTGGTGGGAAGGGGTTGATGCCTTCCCACCCACCCAGGTTCAAAGCATGGTACTTGCAATTTGGGTTTGTTGCACCAATTATACTGTAGGGGCCTCCCTTACAGTCTTTCTGTCGACGAGGGTGACACCACCCGCGCTCATACACCAGGGTGAACAACAAACACCGGATGCAGTATAGAGCTATACACATGTAAGTATAATTTTAGAAAAAACATACAAGCACAGTCCATACCATAGTACTGTGACCACCCCATCTAACATTTTCATCACCATATTTTGTTTGCTCACTGTTGCGTGTAGCCCCCTACCATTGAAGCTTACGTTCTGCCAAGGCTAGAGATGCGGTTTGAAACTTTCAAAGAAGCAAATGACTTCTACAACATCTATGCAAAGCACACAGGTTTTGCTGTCAGGGAAGGTTCTAAGGTTAACAACCGAGTCTACCTTTATTGTACGTGCTATGGAGTCTATGAATCGAAGTTTTTATATGCGAATAGCAGAGGAACAAGACCACTGCCAGGACTAACTGCAAGGCTAAAATGAGGATGAAGAAGGAAAATGATGGAACACTTGTCGTAAAGGAGATATGATGGGAACATAACCACAGGCTAGTGGTCAGCCCCCAAATGCTTGTCTTCTTGCACTCCCACAAAAACTTTGACAACACAATCTTGGAGTACGTCAAGTACCTGTAGTTCAAAGGCATAGAGCATGAGTAAATCATGAGCATACTGGGTGGCGATGACCCCAGTGGCTACTTCATCGAAATGAACGCCAAAGACCCGATTAACGCATAAGTACAAACATGTTCTTCTCCTAGAACCCCCCTCTTTTTTCCTCTGTCAGTACAAACCAATTACGCAACGCCTGGCCTGATGCCAGTTCAACGTGCATTTTTCAATGACTGTTTGCTTTTAATGTAGGAAAGCAAAGAATTCAAGGATGGATGATGTGGACGATGTCCTAAATACTATCAACTTCTTTATGGAGATGAAAGCGATAAACAAGGAATTCTTCTACGACATACAACTTGATGAGCCCGATAGAGTGAAGAACATATTCTGGGCGAACGGAAGCTGCCGAGGGGCATACCAAGACTTTGGTGACTGCGTGACCTTTGACACCACATATAAGAACAACAAGTACCATATGCTACTTGGGGTGTTTATAGGTACTAACAACCACTTGCAGACTACATTCTTTGCTTTTGCCCTGATAAAAGATGAGGATGCAGATTCATTCAGGTGTCTGTTCAAAACATTTTTAAGGTGCATGAGAGGGAAGGCTCCTACATGCATATACTCACAGGTACCACCGCCAACCCCCCAAAAAGGAAAATAACATAGTAAAATGGTTGTGTCAGTTCTATTTGTATATATGCACTAGAATTTGCTGACCACTCCACGTCTCTTTTCTCATTACCAGACCAGTGCCCGACAATGGCGTTGGTGATCCCAGATGTTTTTGGGAACACAGTACATAAGCTATGCCGCTGGCACATTATGAAGAAGTACAGGGAACACCTCGCGTACCTGTACAACCTCCATGAAACCTTTAAGGATGAATTCACATCAATCCTCAACTGGCCCCTCACGCCAACTGAGTTTGAGGCTGCCCGGAAAGCACCCATGGATAAGTAGAACCTCCATGATGATGCCACGATGGTGTCAATGTGGAACGAGCGCGAGAAATGGATATCATCTTACTTCAAAGAAATTTTCTGTGCCAAAATGACATCCACACAATGGAGTGAGAGCATGAACTATGTGCTCAAGAAGAACTTCATAAATGAGAGATAGAACCTGCACTGGTTTGTCAGCCAGGTAAACACCTGCATCAAAACCAGGAGGCAGAAAGAGAACGAGGAGACAATGGGTAACCGGGTATAGCTCTATCACCTGTCGTAAGACAAGAATGTGCTTACTAAAGTAATTCTTTCTTACTTACACAAGTTTTTGCTACGAGAAAACTAATAATTTGTTCATCACTCTTGCTTGTGCAGAAACAACAAAACACGCTGACCCTCT